TCAGTTGAATTGTTTTCCCCTGTAAGTGGTAAGGTATTGTTCCTTTCTCATTGTTTTCAAGACTTTTTCTTTGTCTTTAGTTTTCAGAATTTTGACTGCACTGTGTTTTGATGTGAATTTCTTTGAATTCATCATGTTGGGTTTCTTTTAACTCCTTGAATCTGTAGGTTTATGACTTTTACCAAATTTGGAAGTTTTCAGCCATTATTTCTTTAATTACTTTTTCTGCCTCACTTTTTCCTCTTCTGGGACTCTGGTGATGCAATCCTTTAGTTACAGTACCATAGGTTGCTGAAGTTCTGTCTTTTTTTTTTTTTTTTTTGGTATATTTTCTCTCTGCTTTTAAGAAAGTTTCTATTGTTTTATCTTCATATTTACTGATTCTTCTTTCCTCCTGAACATTCTGTTCTGCTAATCCACTGATATTTTTATTTTAGTAAATATATATTTCAGTTCTAAATTTTTTCATTTGATTCTTTTTATATCTTTTGTTGCTTGCTGAAATTTTCTGCTTCTTTACTTTATTCAAGCTGTCCATTTTTTCATTTGTTTTAAGAATTTATTAATTACTCATTGACACTTTTATGATGGTTGCTTTATCACTATAGGATAATTCTAACTCTGTCATCTCAATATTGGTGTCTGTTGTCTTTTTTTGTTCAAGTTGAGATTTTCCTTGTTCTTTTTATGACGAACAATTGTCAGTTGAAACTTGGACGTTTTTGTATTATGTTACGAACCTTTGGACTTATTTAAAACTTTTTTTATCTGGCTTTCTATGACACTGCTCTGACAAGGAAGGAGGGTGTGGGAGAGTGCTGCATTGTTGTTGCCATATCAAATAAAAGTCTATGATCCTTCGTTGGCCTTCACTGACATCCAATTTAGGGTGGGTGGCTCCTCATTACTGCCGGGCAGAGGTGGGAATTCCAGCTAGGACAGGAAGGAGTGCTTTATTATTGCTTCCCATGCAGCTCCATTGAATCACTAAGGGAGGGGGGCTTTGTTAACGCTGGATGGTGGTGAAAGTTCTGACTCTACTAGGCCTCTTCTAATACAATTCCAGCAGGAAATGAGTAGGTTTCCTCATTACTGCTGGATGGGTGAGTAGGGAGAAAATGTCCAGGTTCCCCACATTGTCTCTGGTGATACCGTAGGAGATGAAGAGGGGATAACTTCACCATCTAAGAGGGATAAAACTCTTAGCTTCGTACTCAACCTTCTCTGACACCACCACAGTGGTAAGGTGTTAAGGTGCCTCATTTCACCCTGGTGAGAATGGAAGTCTAGATTTCTAATTTGGCCATTGTTGACCTGGGTGAAGATGAAGTATGTTCTGTGCTGTTTGGCTGAAAAAAAGTAATTATTGCCTTAAAAATTTTCATTCTCTTATGCTACTCCTTTCCTGGTCCTTCAACTAGACTGAGCAAGTTTTTGTGAAGACTGGGGTTTTCTGTTTGTTTGTCTTTTTGGTTTGTGCCCATTTTTATTTATTTATTTTATTTTATTATGTTATGTTAATCACCATACATTACATCATGAGTTTTTGATGTAATGTTCCACGATTCGTTGTTTGCATATAACACCCAGTGCTCCATTCAAAATGTGCCCTCTTTAATACCCATCACCAGGCTAACCCATCC